CAAAAACTATATATTGGTCCTCTTGACACAAACCTCAGAGCCGCTGAGCGAATTTCTCATCTCATGAAATTCTAAATAAGGTTGTTTCCTCTTCACCATGAAATCTGTACCCATTGATATACAGTTTAGTTTCGCCTGATCAAAAAAATTAAGATTGACAACAGTAAATTACCAAGACAGGCAAAGCCTGCAGTAGAAGATGCTAGTCCAGCTGCAGTAGGAAAGTTGTTGTATGAAGCAATGTGTAAATGCAATTTGCCCCAATCCTCCTTGCTAATCTTAATACCCTTTTTCTTATCCTCAACATCAGAAGCATGGTTGCGGATCTCCCTCAAACAGTTCTGGTACCTTCCCCCTGAAAGAGAAATCTCCTACACTAACCAGTAAAACAAAAATTAAATGATTGGGATGAGGGAAGAAAAGAATAGAAAAAGCAACGAAAAAGGAGAGTGGGCCGCTATGTTACAAAGAAAATTAGGAGCCCAAATGAATAAACAAAAGAAAGAAAGGAAAAAGAAAGGCTCATAAGCGTGAAAACAAAAGAGGAAAACTTGTGAACCCTAGCACAGCACCTCTGTGAGCAAATACACCATCCAAACCCCATCTCAAGCCAACCATCCGGATTTCATTCTACAGTCGAACCACCAAGCCAGACCGTCCTTCGATTTCTGTCGAAACCATCAAACCATAGCATCACCCACGATTCATTTGAGAACCAAACCAACCCACACACTGACCCTAATCATTTCCCTTGATACAGAAAAAGCCAAACACAATCCTTAACAGATTTGGTGAGCTGGAATTTGTTAGGAGTGTGGGCTGAAGATTCTTTTGGAGTGCGGGTGCTATCCTTGCAAACAGTGGCGGACCCAGAACTTTCTATAGCGAGGGGCGAATTTTTTTTTATATTATTAAGAAAAGTACATATAATCATATATGAATTTAATATAAAAAGTTTGAAAGAGTTTTATTATAAAATTCAAGGTCAATTCATTTAACTTTTATTCTACCTTTTTTTCATATTATTAAACTCTTTTATAATTGAATTTGTGCTAAAGTTCAAAACAATTTCTTTTTCAATATATATAATCAAAGAATCATAAAAAAATTGGTCTTCTATTCAATTTCGAAGTCTGATATTGATTATCTTCCATTTGACAATGGATGCTGACTCTTTTTCTTTCCCAATATTTAGCTCAATTGGAACTCCTGTTTGTGTATTGTTGTTGTCTTCTTTAACAATAGTTTTCGCCACCATCTTGATAATCAAGTATGCCTGATTTTGAAATTTTTTCTTGAACCCTAAAATTTGCTACTTCCTTTAGAAAAAACTACAACTTCAATATCTAAAGTTGTGTTTGTTTAAGATTTTTTGGAATTTTCAGTCCAATTATTTAATTTTTTAGTCCAAAATTAATTTTTTTTTAGTCCAAAATTACATATATATAGTAAAAAAAAAATCTTAAAATTAGGGAGGGCCGGTGGCCAACCCTAACCCCTCCCCTGGGTCCGCCTATGCTTGCAAAGGAGACGCACGATTGGGAAGAGCGTGGAGCACACGCGAGGGCTGAGGTGTGAACCGCTTTGCATGATGGAGCATCAGCTATAAAAGGAGGTAGGAAAAGCGTTGTAGGCTCTCTCTTGTCTTCGTCTCTTTTGGATTTATTTTTACTAGTTCTGTTCTATTGTTAGGTTTTTAATTTGTGTAATTTTTCTGAGCACTGTAGCAAAGCTATTCTCTGGATATAGCTTCTGCCTTTTAATTTTCTTTGTTTGTAAATTTTAATTTCTTGTTTTGTTAAGGAACTTTGCTGTTTGTATGCTCATAGACCTATAGTGATGAGCTAAACCTTTTTAGAGTTGGGTTGAAAGAGTACCCAGAACTCATTTGTTATTAGTTGCTATTTAAAGCTTAAAGTATTAATTTTCAGTTTGTTTACAGTGTATTTTTATGCTGAGTTTATCATGTGATGGCCACACATAGGCTACTCCTAATGGTGTGGAATTATTGGAAAATAACCCACACTAGACCTCTCTTTAAGCACATGAAAAGTTGAGAGAGATCTCTCTCAATGGGTATGACTCCAGGGATGAAGTTACCCCCATGTAACTTAAGGAAATGGTGCTTCAAGGTCTAGTAATAATGGATACACAGGGATGTGTCATCTGTTATTTATGGAAAAAAACTGTTGTTGGGAAACAATGGTTGTATTAGTATTTTCGTTAAGCTGGAACTGTTGAAAAAGCAACATCTATTTTCTATCAAAACAACCTAATAGCAAATGAGGGAAGGGGAAATTGATACCCAACTTGTTTTCAAACACTATTTTTAAATCAATCTTTGTTGTCACTTTGTATTTTTGTTCAAATCACAAGTTTAATTTTCTGTTTTAAAATGTAAGAGAAAATCAAAAAAAAAGTTTACAAGGCTTCCATTTAATTAATTTTCCAGTCAGTTCAAAATTCTTTCACCAACTAAATTTATATTTTAAAAAAGAAAATCTTCACAAAAATATTTTTAGTGCATTTGATTTAGAATAGCAGTCATTTAATTTGATTTTATTTTATTTTTGGTTATGATTAGCAATTACAAGTTTATTCAAAGTCAAAAACGCGAAAGATCCTTGTGGGAACGAAAACTGGGATTCACAAAAGCCCTATATTACTTGTTGTCACGTATACTTGCGCGCATACTTGCATAACGGTTAGCAAGGCAACAAGTTTTTGGCGCCGTTGCCGGAGATCGAAGGCGTACATTGTTAGAATTCTGTGTGTGATTGTTGTTTATGAGTTAATTCAATTTTTCTTATGTTTTTATTTTAGTTTATTTTAATTTTTTTCTTTATTGTGTTAGTAGATATTACTGTAATCCCTTGAATGTTGGTAGCTTAAATTTTTGTTCTATTAATATTCTATTTTTCTGCATGTTTTATATAGTTGTTTTGTCATTTAATTTTTTAGTCTATTGTTTCATAGCTGTTACTTTGTTTCTCAATTTTTTAGTGTCAGTCTTTTATTTTCTTTTTTAGTTTCATTCCTTTAGTTTATATTTTTTTACTGTTCTATAACTCTGTCTATTTGTGGGTACTGCTGCTGTTTCAAATTCTTTTCTGTTCGGCTGGTTGTTTAATTTTTTTAGTGAAAAGGGTGCATGAGTGCAACTCCACACCCTTTCTTAGAAGCTTTTGACCCTGAATCTGAAAGGACCTTTAGAGTCAGGAGAAGAACCCAGAGAGCAAATAGGCAGATCCCAATTCCAGATTTTGGAGAAATGGAGGATTTAGGAAATGTAAATGGGAATGAAGGAGGACCTGAGAGGATAGAGAACCCACCAATAGATAACAATGATAGGTCCATGATGGACTTCATCATACCTGTGTTGGATGAGTTGGACCTAAGTATTGCCCAACCTGTTAATGGAGTGCCCTTTAAGTTAGAACCTGTGATGTTCACAATGCTCCAAAATATGGGGCAGTTCCATGGTCTGTTGATGGAAGACCCACATAAGCACCTTAGGAATTTCATAGAAGTGGCTAACACTTTTAGGAATCTCAATATCTCAGATGATGTGCTGAGATTGAAGCTTTTCCCCCACTCACTGGCTGACAAAGCCAAAGAGTGGTTGAACTCCCTTCCATCCAGCTCTATAACCAATTGGTATACATTGGCTGAAAAATTCATTATGAAAATTTTCCCATCCAATAAAGTAGTACAAATTAGATGTGACATCACCAACTTCATGCAGAAAGATGGTGAGACCCTAGTGGATGTGTGGGAGAGATTTAAAATCCTTCTTAAGCAATGTCCCAACCATGGCTTGCCACCTTGGGCAGTGCTACAAACCTTTTACAATAGCCTTAACACTCAAAATAGAGCCTTAGCAAATTCTGCTGCTAATGACATGTTTATGTCTATGTCCTTTAATCAAGCCGATGATTTGTTGGAACAAATGACTTAAAATTATGCCTAATGGCCTGAAGATAGAAATTAGTCAAGAAGAGTGGCTGGTTTGCATGAGGTAGATTCTGTAACAGCCCTTTCAGCCAAGTTTGATGCACTATCCACATTAGTGAAAAACCAAGGACAAGCCATTCAGGCAAGATTGTCTCAGCCTCAAGTTCCAATACCTCAACTGTAAGAACCTGAACCGTTAATTAAAGAATTTAATTAATAAATTATGCAAAATTAGGAAATGATTCCATAATTGACCCTAATAATTATTATGAGGCTTTAATAATTATAGTAAGTGAGTAATAATGCTGAAAGTCGCTTTTCGGAAGAAAAGTGCAGATACCGATTCTGCTAGTCGGTACAAATGCGTGCCGAAAAAGTATCCCGGAAAATTATAGTAAGTGCATGTCAATTACTAGAATAATATGTAGGACTTTTAAAACGAGTTTCAAGTCCAGATAATGAGAACTGGTGCTAAAAACCGGTACTGGCTTGGAAAAGCGCGTACCGGAAAGGTGCTCAGAAAATTACGAAAAATATATGATAATTCTTAGAAAAATGTATAGTTTCAGAATCCAAAGTTTGGGATTAAAATGATAAGCGTAGCTATTTTTAGTTAATACTGTGTGTTTAAGTGGCTTGGGCTATAAATACCCATTTTTAAGGGGCACATAGCCCTAGAAAACAGAAAACCAACGTGAGAGGGAGCTGACCAGCTGCTTGGTGACTGCTCTATTGGCCTTTCCTTCCATTCTTGAACCAAGTCTTGATCTTTCTTGATTTTTCTTCATTCTTTCACTTGGGAAACACTTGGGAAACATCTTGAGAGGGTGTGAAGGTGTTGTGCTTGAGGTTTGGCCACTGTTTGTGGGCTGTTTGTGTTCTGAGTTGGGGTTTGGGTGGAGTGCCTCCTTGCTCATTGGGTTATGAGGCTTAAAGGAGCTTTCTTGTTGAGTAAAAGGACCACCTTAGTATACCATTTTCGTGTGCAGAGAGAGACAGAACCTCGGAGCTGTTGTGTGAGCTCCAAGAGCATCTCCATTCTGAGTTTTGAGCCTTGGTATGTTGTACCACCCTTCAACTTGAGTTTAAATGCTTAAAAATGGTACCTTGATGCATCTAATGACTAAAAGATGATAACTTGTTGTTGGGTAATGTTGAACACACCTAGAAATGTATGTTTAGGTGTTTAAAATCGGTAAAAAACCCAACCTTGGAAGGATATCTTCACGAAATGCATTTTCTGCATTCTGACGTGAAATATCCGGATATGTGCCCGATGAATATCCGGATATGTGATATCCGGATATGGGTTTTGAGTATCCGGATATTAGATATCCGGATATGGGATTCTGGATATCCGGATATTGCATATCCGGATATGGTCCCGAGGAATATCCGGATATTCTGGGATTTCGAAGAACAGTAGCTGTGCTGTGTGTACAGTAGGCTATTGGGGGTTTATGGACCCTAGATTGATGAAGTTGAACTTCTGTAATTAATGATTTAAGTCAGAATCGTTGTGATTAAGGAGTTATGGCTTGGTATGGAGCCTTAAGACGTAAAACGTAAGGAAAGGCGTTGTCTTTAAGTTATATGCTTCTGTTGCATTATTATTGATATAGTATTGGTCCATAACAGATTGTGAATCTGCTGTGTTTGGACTTTGAGCTGTGGACTCTCGGCTTTTGGAGTTAGCTTGTAAGGTAAGCTTTCATGTCCTCGGTTTAGCCATGTTGTGGTTCCAGCATGTCCCATGGGGGTATGGTTTATGCATGCTGTGTACATGCTTTTGGATATTTGATATGTTGATTGAACTTTACATGTAATGGCTTTTAATATGCATGTGTTGTTTCATCTTGACGGGAAGCCTGAGTATGTAGCGCCATACAAGACGGTGTACCGGGGTGAATGCAAGTGGTGCTTGCGCGGTGTGTAGGTGATAAATGTATACCTGCACTGTCTCTGGCCAGTAGATTAGTATTGACACACATGGCATGATTATCTGTTGCATTGCATTGTTTTAGAAATGATAAATGATAAACTGCTTTTGAACTTATATTGCATATGTAAGTGAGCTTAGGGTGGAAGATCCTTGAGGATCCACTAACTTACTGAGATTTCTAGATTAGAGATCTTACCCCACGTTTGGGGAATGCTTATTTCAGGATCAGGTAGTATGGGTACTGATGCCTCAGCGGCAGGAGGCCGGAGCTTAGCTGATTATGTTGTTTCTGCTTATTTGTTAGCATGACTGGATATTGATGCTGATTATGTTTTATGCCTTTTATCATTATGTTGTTGTTGAGACTGATGTTGGGCATGTTGCCTTATTTGAGTGAGCATGGGGATTGTCCATGACACTCTCTGTTAGTACTTTTTAGATTGGAGTTGTATAACCCGTTAGATGGTCCGGTCTACATTGTTGTATTTCCGCGACTAGAGCCACACTTATATTATCTATGTTATGAGGTATTTCAGTTAGTTGTTTTATTGCAATTACATAGAGGCGATGTTTTATTAATTGATTATTAAGCAAGTTGGTAATGTTAATGACATCATAATTGAAAAGAAAAAGTAATTCCGCATTTTTAATTAAGCGCAGCTTAATACGATATTATGATAACATTACCGGATATATACGGGGTGTTACATCATCCTTAAGTTCCAATACCCTAACCTCAAGTCAATGCAGTGAACACAAGTGAAACTTGTGTTTTCTGTGGTGGCCCCCATTTATTTGATAGCTGCCCATCCACCCCTGAGTCTGTCTACAATGTGGGAAACCCCAATAGGAACCAGAATAATTTTTCCAACAATTTTATTTAAGGTTGGAGGCAGAATCAACAGCCCCAATATTTCCAAGGGCAGGGGCAGCAAGCTGGACCCTCTAATGCCCACACCAGACCACCCTTTCCTCCTCAAAATTTCCAACAGCCTCCAAGGCAGCAACCCGTTGCTCAGTCTTCAGTCCCATTTACTCAAAACCAAGCTGGTGAGATGCCTACCTCTTCAACCTCTTCCTTAGAGGCTTTATTGAGGGAATATTTGGTTAAGAATGAAACTAAGCAAAACAGCTTGGAAGTTGTTGTGCAAAGTATTCCTGCATCTTTGAGGAATTTAGAATCCCAACTAGGCCATTTAGCAAATACATTGAATAGCAGACCCCCTGGTACTTTACCTAGTAACACTGAAGAGCCTAGGAGAAATAATGAGCAATGTCACATGATAGAGCTTAAGAATGGAAGATCTGTGAATCAGCCAGAAGCTGTGGTTAGACCTTCCACATTAAAAAAAAGAGACGAGGGTAAAGTGCAGCAAGAAAAAGAATTAAATTCTGAACCTGTTCAGCCACCTGTTGTCCATGACAACCCCCATGGGGCTGAAAATAGTGGTCCTTTGCCTGTTCTGGTTGAACCAGAAATTCAGACCCAAATAGACCCATCTTAGGGAATATTTCCATGGAAAAATCCATTCCAAAGGGTCAAGCATCTAAGTCAAGTGTTGAGACACCTGCTGCCTCAAACAGACCACCACCACCTTTTCCCCAAAGGTTGCAAAAACAGAGGCAAGACAATCAGTTTAGAAAATTTTTAGACCTCCTAAAACAGTTGCATGTCAACATTCCATTCGTGGATGTATTAGAACAAATGCCCACTTATGTGAAATTCATGAAAGAAATTCTTTCAAGAAAAAGGAGGCTAGAAGAGTTTGAGACTGTTGCTCTTACACAAGAGAGCAGTCAATATTTGCTTAGTAAGATACCTGCCAAATTAGGAGATCCAGGAAGTTTTACAATCCCTTGCACCATAGGAGACCATTACATAGGCAGAGCATTGTGTGATTTAGGTGCTAGTATCAATTTAATGCCTATGAGTGTGTTCAAGAAGCTGAAAGTAGGAGAGCCTAATCCTACCACTGTAACTTTATAGTTGGCTGATAGGTCCCTGATTTATCCTGAAGGGAAAGTAGAAAATGTCTTGGTAAAGGTAGATAAATTTATTCTACCTGCTGATTTTATTATTTTGGACTATGAGGAAGACTGAGAGGTACCTATAATTTTAGGAAGGGCTTTCTTAGCCACTGGTGGGGCTGTGATAGATGTTAAAGAGGGTGAATTGGCCATGAATGTGAATGGTGAGCAAGTAAAATTTAATATTTTGAAAGCCATGAAATACCCAAGGGACATAGAGGAATGTTCTAGGCTGATATCATTGACTGTGTGGTCAAAGATAAATTTTTGCATGAGTCTACATTAGACTCTTTTAAAATTTCTGGTTTTGAGGGTCTAGAAATCATTTAAACTGATTCAGAGGAAGTTGTTAAATGGTTAAATTCAAGATCTGATGTGGTTTGGAAAAATAAAAATCTTGAGTCATTAGAGTTGGCCAAGAGAGGGTTAAAAATTCCCAAACCCTCAATTGAAGAACCTCCTGTGTTAGAGCTTAAGCCTCTACCTAATCATCTTAGGTATGCTTATTTAGGAGAAAAAGACACTTTGTCTGTCATAGTGTCCAATCTACTCACTGTTTTAGAGGAAGAACAACTGATGGCTGTTCTAAAAAAATTTAAGAGGGTTATAGGTTGGTCTTTGGCAGAATAAAAGGTATTAGCCCCTTTTATTGCATGCATAAAATCCTTTTTACTGACCCAACCAGCAGCTCTAGGGAGCAGCAAAGGAGACTTAACCCAATTATGAAGAAGGTAGTCAAAAAGGAAATTATTAAGTGGCTGGATGCTGGGATAATATATCCCGTTTCTGAGAGTAACTGGGTCAGCCCAGTGCAGTGTGTCCCTAAAAAGGGTGGGATCACTGTTGTGGAAAATGAGAAGAAAGAATTAATACCCACTAGGACTGTCACTGGTTGGAGGATCTGTATGAATTACAGAAAACTCATCAAAGCCACTAGGAAGGACCATTTTCCCTTACCTTTTATTGACCAGATGTTAGATAGATTGGCTGGTAGGGAGTTTTACTATTTTCTAGATGGCTATTCTGGTTACAATCAAATAGCCTTAGCCCCTGAGGACCAGCCAAAGACCACCTTTCCTTGTCCCTATGACATCTTTGCCTTTAGGAGAATGCCCTTTGGGCTGTGCAATGCACCAGCCACCTTTCAAAGGTGCATGATGGCCATTTTTACTGATATGATAGAGCAGTTTGTGGAAGTCTTTATGGATGACTTTAGTGTTTTTGGGGACTCTTATAAAGAGTGCTTAGAAAATTTGGGAAGAGTGCTTGAGAGATGTGAGGAGACAAATCTGGTCCTTAATTGGGAGAAGTGTCACTTTATGGTGAGGGAAGGAATTGTGTTAGGACATAGGATCTCTAAAGCTGGTTTAGAGGTTGATAAGGCCAAGATAGATCAGATTGAGAAACTGCCACCCCCTGTAAACATAATATTCCTTGGGCATGCTGGTTTTTATAGGAGGTTCATAAAAGATTTTTCAAAAATTTCTAAGCCTCTTAGTCAATTTGCTTGAAATCAACACCCCTTTCCATTTTGATGAGGCTTGGCTTAAAGACTTTGAGAAGTAGCCCCTGACTGGTCACTGCCATTAGAGTTAATGTGTGATGCAAGTGATTGGGCAGTGGAGGCTGTGCTAGGACAAAGAAAAAATAGAGTTTTTCACTCTATTTACTATACCAACAGAACTTTAAATGGAGCCCAATTAAACTACACAGTGACTGAAAAGGAACTGCTGGCTGTGGTGTTTGCCTTTGACAAATTTAGATCATATTTGGTAGGCACCAAGGTCATTGTGTATACTGACCATTCAGCCATTAAATATTTGGTGGAAAAGAAAGATTCCAAGCCTAGATTAATTAGATGGGTCCTTCTCCTTCAAGAGTTTGATATGGAGATTAAATATAGGAAAGGATCCGAAAATCAAGTGGCTGATCACTTGTCTAGGCTGAATGAAGGGCAGCAAGTTGACACTAAAAATATCACTAAAAATAGCAATTGAAGAAAATAGCACCAGGTTGACACTTTTTATTTCTCCCCCAAACTTAGCGTGATCTTCTGCAAGAAGTCAGCAAAGATTGCACTAACACCTGTAACAAGAGAAATAAAAGTGTCAGTATCTGATGATGCTGTGTTTTTTTTATTAACAAATGAGAACTTAAACTAACAAATTATTAACAACTTCAGAACAGCAAAAAAAAAAATCATAAACAAAACAAAAAACAAAACATGCTCAATTTAAAGTCTTAAGCTAGACTTTTGTCACTGTGTTTTTTTTTTTGCAGAGCAGAATGGTCACAGAGAGAGATGGAAATGTTTGCTCTCTCTATTGACTCTCCAAAATAATGTTTTAATCTTTTCCCATTCACAGTGAATTTTCTCCCATCTTTTTCACTGAAAATCTCCACAGCCTCATGAAGATGTACCTTAGTAACTTTGAAAGGACCAGACCATCTAGATTTTAATTTTCCAAGAAATAATTTTGATCTAGAGTTAAACAGTAAAACTTGCTGACCCACTTCAAATTTTTTTTGGCCCTGCTTATTCTGTCCAATTCGAACCAAATTAATTGAATAATTAGTAAATCGATGAAAAAGGTAATATATATATATATATATATATATATATATATATATATATATATATATATATATATGATCCTTTGACACTCGTGTCAAATTTTAAATTTGACACATGTTAGATTAAAAAAGATCAATGACTCTGATTTGTAAGCATGTGACACCATTGATCTTTTTTGATCTAAAGTGTGTCAAATTTGAAATTTGACACGTGTTAAAGGATCCTACTTCATATATATATATAGGGTCAGGGTCATCTTATACTAGTGTAAGTTACACTCTTAATCTTATTCGTTAATTCCACCAATATCTAAGGGCTCAAATTTTTTAGTAACGTGAGCCGTTGGATATAAGTGAATCAATGGTCAAGATTGAGTGTAAGACTTCTAACTCTTACACCGGTATAAGAATATCCTGCCCCACACACACACACATATATATATATATATATATATGAGGTAGGATCCTTTGACACCAGTGTCAAATTTAAATTTTGACACCTCATCTGAAAGATCTTTAGATAAAAAAAGATCAACGACTCTGATTTGTAAGCATGTGACACCATTGATCTTTTTTGATGTAACGGCTATCAAATGAGGTGTCAAAATTTAAATTTGACACTGGTGTCAAAGGATCCTACCTCTATATATATATATATATATATATATATATATATATATATATATATATATATATATATACACACACGATATCGCGCTGAATCAAACTTACGTGCCTACTAATGTGTATTGCTCTCTCTACATAGTTCTACGATTGCTAGCTGTCGATGTCCATTGATTTTTCAGTCTACATAATTTGTTCTTGATATGACAATTTACAAACCATAAATAAAAGCTGATGTGATAAGCAAAATTATGATTTGAGTTAGATGAGCTAGATGCTTTGCTTATGACACTCAATAACATAGCGATAAAATAAAAACGAAGAAGAATGATTGCTTTGCTCATGAGGAGCTTTGATGGAGAATCGAAGAGAAAATGGTGTATCTCAAGTTAAAAGCTTAAGAGAATATTGATTCTTCAAACTTCTTTGAATTCCCAAAATCCTCCTCTTGCCTTCATTTGATCTTCTATTTATAGGCTAGGGAAGACAATGGTTCTCTTGTGATTCCCTGCATTATTGAATTAAGGATGTCTCCTCCTTTATTTGACCTAACGAACTAACGAAGGAGAATGCTTTGAGGTGGATAAGACTAGGGCTGAGTTGTCCCTTTTGCTGTGCTTTTCCAAGGACGATCTTCTAACACTCAGACGCGTCCAATAACATTCTCTACTTTGTTGTGCACGTTTGTCTGCTCTGCTGCGCGTCTCTGTCCTTTATGTGTGCTTTCCAGTGCGGTACCTGCAAAAAGCATAAAGCAGATGTTAGTGCAATCAAAAGGTAAAAGTAATGAACAACTCGTACATTTTATTCTCTTTTTCTTTTCTTACTTTTCCACATTGGAAATCATTCTTTCACACAAGCCAACATTTATTTCGAATATACTATTATTTATAATAAACCGTACTAAAAGGGTGCAGAACGAACAACGTTCTACAGTAAAAACACTGCAAATGAGAATGAATATTTGTCCCATCATTCACCATCATAGAGTGGGAATCAAAATTTATTGTTTATCACAGATGATGCCAATGTTCGATCCAAGTAGATTGAGAATGTTCACCCTGAGGGTGATATGTCAATATGGGATCAAAATGCGAGCAGATATCTATAAAAGAGATATTGCAGAGGGTTGTATATCATTGTGTGCATAAGATACATAGCATAGTCAAAACATGAGATGCGTGCACATTAACAATTAAAAAAAATGACACGTAGCGTGTCATACTTGATGGGTTCAACCCTTATTTATACGTGAGTTGCCTGATGAGAGTAGAATTATGATCTCCTTAGGATTGTTAGGGAATGTTTCTTCTCTCTTCTAGTGGTATGAAAAAGTTGATATCCTTATCTTTCTCAGCTATTTGTTTTTTGTGGGTTGTTGGAACATGACCCGTAAGTTGGGTCCATAAATCAATCTTACTTAATTATTTTTTAGTTTCAATGAAGTAAAGGAGAAGGTTTCTAATATGCAAGTATCAAAATATGTAAGTTGAGCACAAGTCTTATGCCTGGTAGAAGAGTGAAATTCCAAATTCCACTTTGATTATATTGATTAAAGAGCACGGCTGATACTGACGTAAAAAGCAACGACAACGAAAAGGATGAAAATTAAAAATTTACAAAGAAAGAAAAAAGACAAGAAAAGGAAAATTCAAGGAAAATTCAACATGAAGAGGGATTAGAAACATTGACAAGAATAGTCTGTATAATCAATATTATGGATAACTCAGTTAGAAAGTTGAAAGCTACAAAAAAATTTAAAAATAAAAAACTATTTAAAAGTAGGTAATCAAATGCGCACAAAATATAAATTTGGTTTGGTCATTAGAAAAAAGAGAGAGTTATCCTACCCGCTTTTATCAACCGATTTTAACAACATTTTAATCACATCATTATTATATCTTTTAACTTAACAATTAAATCATTTTGTGGGTCATTTGAGTTCCATAAAAAGCTTAATGTTGGACTTTCTTTTAATTTCACTAAAAAAAATATTGTTTTGAGGACAAGATATTTTGCATTAATTACTTTGAAATTTAAATAAAGTCCAGTAAATAGTTAGAAAAATGTTTTATACACATGATTTTTCTCTGTAAAAAATAAGTCATATAAGAAATATAAATCATGCCTTTTAAATTAAGCCATTAAGAGTGGATTATAAGTTAGAGAATTAAATAATATATATGAAATGATATATTCAAATAAAAAAAATATTAACTTTGCCATGGGATGTATAAAATGTATAACTACGATAAGATATATTTGTGAAATAATATTATCGTTGTTATGTTATTATTTGTTATAAAAGTCTTTTTTATGTACAGCTTTATTGATTATTATTATTATTAAGCGAAAGTTTACCAATTACCCTTTGTTTAATGTTGAACAACATATTAGCATTTCTTAAGCAGTTTGCAGGCTGTTTCATGATAATAACAATTTATTTTTAATACCCCGTCACTAATTTTTTTTGACACATACGTTGAATGATGTATTATTACATTATAAAATAAATTTATTTATAAGAATAACTACTTAAAAGATAGCTTTTCATGTACCAAAAAAAAAAGAGAGATAGCTTTTCCAATGATGTGTGAAAACCTGAATTATTATTAGCTTAAATTTTTTTATAAATTAGACTCATAATAAATAGAATTTTTCTTATATGTTATACATAAATATTTCTAGTAAATAAATTGTTTAAAAGATTATATTTTGGAACTTATAAAATCTATTTCTGTTTTAGATCGAATACGCGGACTCATCGAAGAAAGTATTCTTAAAACATAAATTCTGCTTTTCTTTAAGATAATTTTTTTAGCTAATGAATAATTTTTTTATTCATTTTGAATATTTTTTTAAAAAAATAGCCTTAACCAATGGTAGTAATAACATTCCTATGTTTGTATTCTTAAACCCTCCATTTCTTTTTAGATAATTTTATCATTAAAAAAAATATAATTTTACAAATAAAATAATTAAAATAAAATATATTTTTTTGTACATAAAAAATAATTATATTTTAAGTACTGCATCTAAACATAAAATAATTCTTTTAATTTAAAAATATTTTTATAGTCAACCAAACAAGTCTTCGAATACATATTTGAATTTATTTTTTTCAAAACAAAAATAATTTATTTAAAATGACTATGATAGTGAAATTTCAATTATAAATTAGTTGAAATCCAAAACAAATTAATTCGAACCTTTTCAAAAAGAGAAATTGAAACATGTGCTCAATGCGGGTTTGGCCATCAGGAGGTGCCTGTTTTGATAACCAAGGCGGCATTTAACAAGAATAAACATTTCGTGAATGCACTCTGCACTAAGCACTTAACTACATGCACATATATATTTGCACGACATGCACTGCACATATATATTTGCACGCTCGTGAATTAGTATCATCATTGTTGAGTGCTTTCGTCCTTTTACCGAAGAAATGATGTTGAACTCAATGGCAGTAGTTTCCTTGATAGTCTTTTTTGGCGTGGCATATCAAGTCATTCAGCCTCCACCCCCAAGAACATGTGGTTCACCAGGTGGTCCACCCATCACAGCACCAAGGATTAAGCTCAGAGATGGAAGACATTTGGCCTACAAGGAACATGGTGTTCCTAGAGAAGTAGCCAAGAACAAGATTGTGTTCTTACATGGGTTTGCTTCTTGCAGACATGATACAGTGATTGCAAATAACATTCCCAAGGTATTAATTAAGCTCCATGATACCTTGGTTTCATGGTGTGATCTGTTTTGACTTCACTTTGGTGGATTCCCATTTTTATTTTATATTAATATTGACTGCAATGATATCAGGGACTTCTTGAGGAATTGGACACATACATTGTGTCTTTTGATAGACCAGGCTATGGGGAAAGTGATCCTCATCCTAATCGAACTGTAAAAAGTTTGGCTCTTGATGTTGAAGAGCTTGCAGATAAGCTGAAATTGGGATCCAAGTTTTATGTCATGGGATTTTCTATGGGAGGACAGGCTGTTTGGGGTTGCCTTAAGTTCATTCCTCACAGGTAACAAAAGAATAGCTGATAATTATTAATATTTGTTTTTTTTTTAATATATTGAAGGGCAAGCTTTTGAGCTGTGATATTTGTCTATGATGGCAATATCACATGTTGGAGCTTACAAAACAATATCTTTGTAAAAATATAATAATAAGGTTATGTACAATCCATTCTCACCCTGTACTCACAAAATTGAGGTCACATAGTAGATTTGCCTTATTTATTTTATTGGGGGAAATATGGCCTTATATCAGTATAAGAGTAACTCTTATATTATATCTTTATTATTGATCTATTTACATCTAATACCTCTAATTTATTAGTTATGTGAATCGCTAGATGCAAGCAGAATTAATAGTTATGATTACGAATGCAACTTATAATGATATAAATGATCATTACATATGTGCATGTGTGCATATGTTTGCATGCGTGTGTGTGTCCGTATGCATGTATATGTGTGTGTCCATGTGTATATTGTTGATGTTGGTTAGAAACTTAGTGAGGTAAAAAAGGAGTTTTGGAGATTCATGCGTGCATAAATGTATGTGCGTGCGCATATCCGTATGCATGCTTGTGTGTTGTTCACATTGGTTAGAAACTTAGTAGGAGTGAGTTAAAAAAAAGGAGAGTTGGAGAATCATGCATGCATATATGTGTGAGTGCGTGCATATGTTTGCAAGCGTGTGCGTGTCCGTGGGCATGCATGTGTGTGTATTGACGTTGGCTAGAGACTTAACAGGGGTGAGATAAAAAAAAGGAGTGTTGGAGATTCATGCACGCATATGTGTGTGTGCAAGCATATGTTTCTGTGCATATGCGTGTCCGGTATGAATGTGTGTTGTTGACATTGGTTAGAAACTTTGTAGGAATGAAATAAAACAAGGAGAGTTGGATATTCAACCTCCAACATTTATATTATATGCAAATCTTAATGATTTAATGTCAATACCATTTAAGCTTCATGATTATTGGCAAAGAATTGTTCATCTACAATTATTTATTGCATCTGATTTGAAAGCGGAAATGTTTGGGAATTTAGAATTTTGAAGGCAAGGTAAATCTCGAAAAAGAGAAAAATTTGTGTATATCCCACCAATCTTATTGACAATACAGAGAATAACTGAATATTTATAGAGAAAGATGAAGAAAAACTTTAAGTAAAAACTATCTAATATGACTTGGATTTGAATAGCTTTTCCAAAGACTTGGATTTTGACAAAGTTCAATGGGGTGATTGAATCCAAATAGCAGATTCCAATTTATCATAAAAGGCTTGTATTCTTGATGTGGTCGGTGTTATTCCTCAATGACGAATATTAATGAATTTGACAAAGTTGCATCCAATTTTATTTGAATTTAGACAGAAGAGTTCTTCATTTTAAACTTTATGCATATTAATCTGTTTGATCCTTAATCATTAAACTTAATGATTCTGAATTATGATGTGCTAACAGACTTGCAGGGGCGACACTAATAACTCCAGTTACCAACTACTGGTGGCGTTGCTTTCCTTCAAACTTGACCACATTGGCTTACTATAAGCAACCTGTACGAGACCAATGGGCACTTCGAGTTGCTCATTATATACCACAGCTAGCATATTGGTGGTTCACTCAGAAGTGGTTTCCTTCCTCAAGTGTTGTCCAACGCAACCTTGCTGTTTTCTCACCCCAGGATTTATCACTCATTTTCAAGTTAGCTAACAGAGAACATCAGGTACCATGTACCAAACACTTCATATTCGTACATCATTACATGAGGAAATCTAAGTCAGGCTAAAGTAGCCCTTCCAATGAAAGTAATTATCATGACTTAATCTGATTAGGAGATGCAACTCAATAAACTAGCTTATTAAGTAGGAGAGTTGATATCACATTCAGATTCATTATTTATTCTCAATAATATTTCATATTGTAGTGTATTATATGCTACATTGGTTTTTATTTATTTATTTTTTACCAATAAAAAATTTATTGATTTAATGTCAGTCCTGATAAATTTGGAATTAATCTATTATTTATAATCAGCATATACTATATATTTAACCATCAATTAACATTTTGGGTTAAAAATAGGTGACATGGCCTCCTATGTGAGTTGTTTTAAGTTTAGCTTAGTCTATTTTATTTAATAAAAAAATCAAGCTAATTTTTTTTAAATCTTATTTAAAAAAAAGGTTTTATTAATTTGTGCCCTCAAGGGCATGAGTAAAGGATTAAAAATGATTTTTTTTTATTCATTTTAATCACTTAAAGAAGAAAGTATTATTATTTTTTTAAAAAGTTTTAAGATAAAAAATGCTTATGATTTGTATTTAATAATTCTTATTTTTTATTCAATACAAATTAACAAAACCTTGTTTTAAATAAGTTGAGTCTCAAGACTTTCAAATATATTTTTTTCCTTGAGGTAGGCTTATTGTTTTTGTTATTATTGTTAATAATCTGTTGTTAAAAAGTGTTTTTACCACCACGCTAATTTGAGTTCCGAGTACGCAGCCAACATGATAGGAATAGACTAGTTTTAAAAAAAAAAACATGTTAAGAATAATTTTTGGGTTCATTTTTTCTACAGTTAATTTGATAATTTATCTGCATTGAGCTCAAAACGATGTTGTTTTGAGGCTGAAATCAAAGTATTTTTGTAGTTTTAATTTATTTTAGGGTTATAATAGTCTTTATAATTATAAATTTTTAATATTTCAACACCAAAACGACGTCATTTTCGAAATAAATACATATAATTTATTTGCACTGCAGAAATATTTTTCTGATAATTTTTTCACCATCGTCGGTCTGTCAGGTTCGAACGAAATTAATTGAATAATTAGAAAACCGTTGAAAAAGTTGAAAATAATAATAATATATTTTCAATTTATTTATATATTCTAAAAGTGAAGGCTCCCTTGCTTATATTTAATGTTAAGCTTATTAGAAGTAATTCCTAATATATTTAAATAAGTTTTAAGATTAGGTGACGTAAAAAAATTAGTCAATATCAAATAATATAACAAGCTTAAACATAATGTTTCAATAATATAATTAGTTCATTTAAGAAAAAACTAACATGATATGATATTTGTAGGCGTCAATATATATATGAGTTTTATAAGAGTTATGTTGTAGAAAAAGTGATTGTGTAAAATGTTATAGAGATTCGTTATGCGTGCCGTAATTTTTTCTTTTTCTTTTTCTTTTCAAAAAATGTGGGCTCCACAGAATATTGTGTGTGTAAGAAAGTTTGTTGTGTCATTTAAATGATTAATACAAACACCTCTCTCTATATATATATATATATATATATATATATATATATATATATATATATATATATATATGAGATATGATCCTTTGACACCATGTTAAATTTAAAGTTTGACATCTCATCTAAAAGAGTAGTTAGATAAAAAAAGATGACTCTAATTTGTAAACATGTGAATATTGTTTTCTCTACATAGTTCTACATATATAGTGCTGAATCAAACTTACGTGCCAACTAATGTGTATTATTCTCTCTACGTAGTTCTACCAACGCTAGTTGTCGATGTCCATTGAATTTTCTGTCTACATAATTTGTTCTTGATATGTCAATTTACAAACCATAATAAAAGCTGATGTGAGAAGCAAAACTATGATTTGAGTTAGATGAGCTAGATGCTTCGAAATGGCCATAACAAAGGAGAAATTTCACTACAAATAACAACGGCGGCACTCATGCTAGTTAAATTCAATGCAGTCACAGGTGCAGCAGCAAGGTGATTTTGAATCCATCGTCCGTGATGCAATGATTGGATTTGGAACTTGGGATTTTCATCCTCTTGATATTGATAAACCTTTCCCAAATAATACAGGCCACGTTCATCTATGGCAAGGTGATGACGATAAGCTTGTCCCTGTTATGCTGCAACGCTATATTGTTAAAAAAATTCCATGGATTCAATATCATGAATTGAAAGGTGCTGGACACATGTTTCCATACTTGGAGGAAATTAGTGCAGCTATCCTCAAAGCACAGTTATTGGATGAAAATGAGTGAACTGAATAGTGTTGATTGTGGCATGGGTGGTGTTCTCAAAGTCTTAAGTTTCCACCTAAATGTAAAAACATGAACCTGAAGTCGTGCAATAATTTCTTTTTTTAGGTTACTTTTATGCTGGTCAGATGCAAAATTGATCTTTCTATGAATGAAAGTTTCACTGTTTGCATTAACCAGCTTGGAAGTATATTAAATAGCAATAACTGCACTTTTCTGGCAATGTCAAACGTAAGCTGTCAAAATCTTGAATGATGGCTTCATTAGCATTCACAAGTTTGCTAGCTAATACAAACTTGCTTATTGAGGATTCAGAACCACCCACCACGTTCATACTAGAAATTAACTAGTTTTGTATGGGTTGAATGGACAGATCGACTGAAACTGGTTATGTCATTCCTCTCTTATTTGAAAAATGGTTAAATCAATTGAACCTGAAACTTTTTTTGGATTTCCTGTCCAGTCTGATGTTAACATCGCTAGAAACAATGCATATGTTTATAGAGCCCAGAAATGCTTTTCTGTTTAAGAATTTGCAAAACATAGAGAGTTCAAACTCCAAATTTATTCAAGGCCACAAAGAATTTTTTATTTTTATTTTTTATTTTTTAAAGGAAAAGAAAAAAAACCCTCAAATTGATCCATCAATGTCCAGAGAACTACAGAAGCAAATATGGATTCTTACAAGAGAAATTGGTGATACTAAAATCTGAAACTTACAAGCTCAAGTGAATTGAGGGTGCTTTGCTGGATATATAAATGGAACAGGAATTGGATCTTATTTGTAATGGAGAAGTGTGTGGATACCACATAATGTTGTGAGATAACTAATACCGTAATTGGCACAATATTTGTTAAAAAAAAACAGGAAAATAAAAAAGGAAAAAAAAGAAAAGAAAACTCAAACCAACTTGGCCATAAAAAGGAAAATCCAGTTACAAAATTTTTGTTGGGGAAAACTCTCAGCAGACATCAACTTGTTATGCCCGTAAATAGCTCTAAACCATTCCGTTTGCATAGTCAGATATGCTGTCAATCCATAACAAAATTCGTAGAAACCACTTAAAGATAAATAAAAAAAACTTGAGACGCCCAACAGAAAGAACCATCTAAAATCTGTGTTGCGTTGGCATTTAGTTACGCCACCTTTTCATTGCTAAAGCTTTTACTATAAAAGCAGCAAACAAGAACTCCATATGCAAACAAAAATAAAATTGATTACACTTCCGACAAACCCCAAATCCCCACCATGATTATCTCCTCATCTTCTTGTGATCATCTGGTATGCTTTTTTTTTTTTTTTTCCATCCAAATTTTAACACTTAATTTGTCGTCTTCAATCTTACTTAATGTGGCTACTCTTTAAGTATATATTTGAATACACGAAAGAATAACATTACGTACAAACATTATTCATAACTAATTATGTAATTAATAATGATTGTTTGCTTACAGGTAAACACGAGGTTTATCTCTATGTCGTTGATACTTTCATTATCAATACTAGTGTTGCTACCAAGGACTGCATACTCATTTCAAGGGAAGTCATCCGAAAGTAATATAAAGTCGGCTACTTTTGTGTCTGAAATGTTTGAAGTGGAGCCAGGATTAATTGCGGGAAAAACTTTTTGGGATATTGAATTCCCAAAAGGCCACATTGGAGTCAAGAGTTTTGATGCTGAACTAATTGATGAAGATGGGAACCCTGTACCTTTGTTTGAAACATACCTTCACCATTGGTTTGCTATAAGATACCTTGAAAATGTTACTATTGCTAGCATACGCGGCTCCAAGGTTCCTCCCAAGAATTATGATGGTTTCATTTGGAAGAGAAATCAAGGCATGTGCCACGAATATATTCTTCCACATTACTGGGGCTTAGGAGTTGAATCACGAGGAACAATCTCAAACATTCCGGACCCTTTTGCAGTAGAACTACGTAATCCTGCAGAAATTCCAGATGGGTACGAAGAGAAATGGTTATTCAACATATTGGCCATTGATACACGTGGTACACAAGATAGGAAAGGTTGTAGTGAATGCAGATGTGACCTTATGAATCTCACTAAGAACTTTTATAATGTCACAAAAGGCATTATTGGGGAACCATTGACACCAGATTATTATAAAGGAGGACTCTTGTGTTGCCAAGACAACTTAAAATGCAAATTGAGAGAGGGTTTTGAAGGCCCAAAGAGAAAGCTTGCCCTAAGATACAAAATAAGGTGGGTAGATTGGGACGAAAACCAAATTCCTCTTAATTTTTATATACTTGATTCGACCGATAAAATGAAATCCAATGGTTCAACTTCATTCCATGAGTGTCAGGTAAATATGTTTGTTATTCAATGCACTTTATAATTACACTTTTCAATCTATTAATTTGTTTGGAGTAAGTGAGGATTAAAGATTTATTAATTTGTTACAGGTAGAATTTACTATTCCGGCAAATGGTAGCAATGACTCTCCCCATATCCAGAAAACAAAAATCCCAATGGAAAAAGGTGGTTATCTCATTTATGGAACGGCTCATCTGCATTCAGGTGCTATTAACGCAACTCTATATGGAGAGGTACATATATCTTAAGCGTTTCCCATCATCTTTGTAATTTAAATAATAAATATAATGTTGAGAACTGAAATTTATATATATATATATATATATATATATATATATATATATATTTTGCAATGCATTTTTACTCATGCAATTTATACTTTCTATTGATATAGGATGGAAGAACTCTATGTACCTCAACAGCAAAATATGGAACAGGAAATGAAGCTGGAAATGAGAAAGGTTATGCTGTTGGAATGTCTGTTTGTTATCCAAAACCAGGTTCTATCAAGATTAAGGATGGTGAAATTTTGACAGTAGAAGCCAGATACGAAAACGGCTTTCTCACTGGAGCTATGGGACATATGTATATCTATTTGGCAGAACAACTACCACACGATACATTGACATCCTAATTCCTCTTATATACATCTTTGCTTCATGTACTGCATATTCCAACAAGTCTTGAAGACATGATTGGAAAGTTTCTTCCACTTGCTAAAGAGGGAAAAATGTTTTTATATACATCTTATTGCAAGAGGGAAAAATGATTGGGAAGTTTCTTCCACTTGCTAAAGACAATTCTTGAAATACCATGCATGCAGTGGTTGTTCACATCTCATGCTTTGGAATAAATTAGAAATCAGATTATCACTATGATTTATTTGATTATATTTGATATAAATGATATAAAATTTCTTTCTCTCTCTTCAATCACTTCCACAACTCTCTCTCACACACACCTTCCTCTTTCTGTCATGTTTTAGTGACCACTATTTAATGGTTACTAAAATGGTAGTAAGTTAGTGATAAATATAACCTTCCCCAAGAAATTAAAAAATAAAAGATTAATATATAGTTTTATATGTACATATATTTTATCACAACTTTAACAAATGATTTTTTGACTAGTGATTATATTTTATGTATTTAAAGTGCCTTCCTTTTTTGAAAAAACAAAATTCAAGAACATACTAATTCACAAGCGCTAAATAATGTTATTTTTGTGAGCTAGATTGCAACTCAGATCGTCAACCTTTGTAGCAGGGGAACAACATTACGAGCAAAAATATTATGGAAAAAACAACAAAGACCGAAGCGATACTGCTATTTAATAATCAATTTAATAGTATTTCATATTTGTATTTGCATTTTAACTATTATTACATCGCATCAGTTTAAGTCTATGTATATTTTATTATCCCGTAAATGCTTCTCTTCTATTACATCTCAGGTCCAAAAATAACGAAAATCGATATGCTTTGAGGAAGAGTGAAAAGTTGAATATTTTGTCTAAATGCATAGAACTTCGATGATCACATTTCAACACATACTTTTCTTGCTTGTGACCCAACTTGAATAATTTAAATTGTGTTACAACGAACAAGAGTAAAATTTGAACTCCTACACATAATAACATAATGCAGATTATAATGTATGATTCAATATTCCAAAAGTTCTTGAACAAAGAAAAAATATTGAGTCCGTATTTAATTATTTCATTCAAATATTTACTTTCGTATAGGTCACCCATTAAAATTCAGAACTTTAGTCCTCTCAGTTATGGCAGGAACACACTCCCATTCAAGCCAGTTGTTATACCTCAGTTCAATAAGCTATTGGAACTCTAATTATACCTTCAACTTTTTATTTTTTTATTTTTCTGATCAAAGTTTACTTATCCCTAGGGATGTGCATGGAGCGGTTCGATTATTGTCAAAAATCGAACCGAACCAGTTTTAAACGAGTTGGATTTTTAAACAAACCATTTTTTTTAAAAAAAAAATAGGTTTTTAATTTGTCCAAACCGGTTTAAAACCAGTTCCAAAACCGGTTTATGGTTCATAACCGGTTTTGATTTAAAATCGGTTTTAAACTGGTTTTAATTCAAAATCGGTTTTAAACTGGTTTTAATTCAAAACCGGTAATGAACCATAAACCGGTTATCAAGTTCAAAACCGATTTTTTAACAAATTCAAAATGTATTTTTGATGGATCGTGCTATTTTTATAAGTAGTTGTTTGTTTCTCCCGGTTATAGATAGTTGACCAACTATTTCTTGCAAGGATCTTCATTGTTTTGAAACTCTCAGGACGAAATGATTCTTATAGAAATTGTTTCACGTTATTTTTACGGAAAACATATCTGTAAAAAATGTTGACGAAAAATTTTTTTTGTCGAATTTTTTTACGGAATATAAATTTCGTCAAAACATTTCCCTCAAAATATTTCACAAAAAAACATATTCATTGAAATTTTTGATGAAAAAAATTTTCATCAAAATTCTTTACAGAATTCAAATTTCGACAAAAGTTTTCGATGGAAACATTTTCGTTAAACTTTTTGACAAAAACATTTCCGTCGAAATTTTTAACGAAACACATTTTTATCGAAAGTTTTTGACGAAAAATATTTTCGTCAAGTTTTTTGATAAAAAAACATTTCC